TATTTGACCTAATGGGGTTGGTGGTGCAGACAAAGTACTCGGGAATGGGGGCGGCCATTGAATATGCTGTTTTGCATCTGAAGGTGAATATAAAACGACCACTCCTTTCCATATTCAACTTTGCTTTTACTCTGACTGGAGTCTGGAACCACTACTTTCATATTCAACTTTTTTTTATATTATTCTGTGATTCAATCAATAATGGTGACCTAGTCATTGGGTTTGTTCCTTTCCTTGCACACCTTATCATATTACGGTTGTTACCCCTTCAAAACAAAGGGGGGCAGAAAGAATAGGCTTCAAAAGTTGCAGATTTAGAAGCAGGATGAATATTAATTATTAATTATGTTTGAGTACTATACCTACTTTGTTGGCAATGGAGTTTAAAACTTATTTAAAAGAGAAAATGCATTTTATAAGTGGTAAATTGCCTCTATAGATAGAATATTCTCTTTAGTTCGTTGTATTTTACATTTGAAAACTTAATTAAAAGAGAGAATGCATTTCATAAGTGGTAAATTGCCTTCATAGATAGGATATTCTCTTTAGTTCGTTGTATTTTACGTTTGAAATATCTTTCTTTCTCTTAATCTAGCTTAAAGTATAATTATCGCCTGTACTAAACAAAGAGAAAATGCATTTCTTCAGGTGGAGAATATTTTGGTGATTGGACACAGCTGCTGTGGAGGTATAAAGGGGCTCATGTCTATCCCAGATGATGGGTCCACTGCTAGGTAAGCCTTCACTTATCATATCAAGAAGAAGTAGGTTTAAAGCCTTCAACACTTTGCATCTTTCTGATTTTAATTTGATTCAAAAGTTGAATAACTCTTCTAAGTACAATAATTTAAGTACAGATACTCGAATGAAGAATAATCAAGGATATTAATTTGCAGATAGACATTTTAAATTTTTTTATTATGTTTTGGCTTTTAGAACTTCCAAAATTGTTGGCTTCTCCTTCCATGTGGAGTTATTGCTATTTACTATATAATATATTTGATTTGTGTCGTGTCCTACTCGATCGGAAATGATCGAATACGAAGGACTTTATTCTTTAGTGACTGTGGTACCATTGTTTTTGGAGGCATCCACAAAGTTGTATAAAGCTACAAGTAGAAGGATAATTAAAGTGGTTATGACAGCTTCAGATTATTTGCTTTTTTCAATTCATCTTTGAAATTCTTTGTAACTTTCGGTTTCAGGTTACTCTACTTTTAAATAACATTCTGAAATCTAGCAATAGCGTACTGTCCGTGCACAAGGCAAACAGCTTTTACAGTTTTGCTACTGTATTTAAATACCATTTTGAAAACCCAGTATTTTCTCATCCAGTTAATTTGTAGTTAGAATAATTTTGTTTTATGCATTGACAGTCCTCCATTTGTATACTGAATTTTCAGTGACTTCATAGAGAGCTGGGTGAAAATCTGTTCACCGGCAAAGACCAAGATTAAAGCTGCATACAGTGGTTTGAGTTTCACAGAGCAGTGCACTAACTTGGAGAAGGTAACTTTGCATTGCCTAAATTAAAGAAAAAACTAGAAATCATAGCTCCTCTTAAAGAGACGGTATGTTCTATGACCAATTGTATACAATCATGCACTTGCCTCTCTTATTACACTAGTCGCATGATGAGAAAGATAGACATGACATTATATACAAGCGGTGACTCATTTTTAATTAGCATTTTTTTTTGAAACACAACACATTAGCATACCAATTGGATTAATTAGATTAATTAAGATTATTCCAAGTTCAGACATCATAATTATATTGATTAAGATTCTTCCAAGTTCAACCATCTTGTGTTTTGAATGCAGGAGTCCGTGAACATCTCACTGGGAAACTTACTGACATATCCATTTGTGAGAGAAGCAGTGGTGAACAAGACTCTGAGTCTGAAAGGTGGACATTACGATTTCGTCAAGGGCAGCTTCCAGCTCTGGGATCTTGATTTCAAAATTACACCTAATTTGACTGTGTGAGCATCGAACATTGTCCAGAAACCTTCCTTACGTTTCTTGAAAAATTTCAACTCAGTCCATCTTCTTTGGAACAACATTTGGCAAAATAATTGTGTTTATGGCTTGTGTGATATTGAAATATCAAATAAGCATAGCAATGCTGTATTCTGGTTTATTGCAATATGTAAAAAGTTATATTTTCACTAGCAATGTTTCTTAGCTTCAAACGCTGATGAAATTTACCGTTTTACCATGTACTGTATGCAATGCTGTATTCTGGTTTAATATTTCATCTTACATATTTATCTTAAGACTTTTCCTAAACTAAGAATTTGTTTGCTATCCACCAAAAGACCAAAAGCAAGGACCAAACACACAAGGAACTGACCGTTATGATTTTATAAGTAGTTAACGAGAAATTCTTACCATCTATTTGTAACATTTTTCTAATAAAGATGAGACTTATATGTGTTGATGACCCTACCTCTGTTAAAAAGATGATGCAAATAGATAATAAGTGTATCACTACTCCGTGAATTATTTTGGTAGAACTCAGCTCGTGTGGCTTTACTTCGTGCATTAATTCGTTTTTCTATACAACATAAGCATGTGAGATACCAAACTAAATAAATGAAAAGAAAAACTATCATAATTACCAACCAAATTAACAAAATAGCAACCAATTATCGGTGATCTCTATTACATAACACAAAGCTTTAAATTTAGGGAGTTTTAACAAAACACTTCTAGTATTATTCACTTTTAACGAAAAAGCACATTTATACATTTCACTGTTACTATTCACTATACCTTTAAAAATGGCATTTCATTAAAAGGAAATTTTTTTTTAGCTTTTCGTTAGTTTTCCTTTAAATTATCGGATCATCCTTGCATGCTGTCGAGAGACCTGTCGCTGTCAATGTCCCGGTCCAATTACCCGGAGAAAATCAGAACTTCACCGGGTTGCAATACACCCGAAAGTTGCTAGGATTTGTCCAATACGATGGCAGCCTAAAATAACCCAACATGCTGAGCTCGAATCTCACCGATCCATTAGATCTCCCTTCCGAGATTTCATTGGCCACGCCATTACCTATATAGGCCGACACTGTTTCGATTTTGAAACTGTTAGCGATCTCGGTTTTCTTGTTTAAAACCGAGGGAGGAGTCACTGGCTTCAATGCTCATACCATGTAAACAAATATGACATTGAGATCATACAAGGATTAATGCAAACTTCTTTGTCACAAACAAATCTATACAACGGCCCTATATGACTTCGAAGAGAACCGAGTGTTGCCAACTTACCAAAGATAGGAATTCAAGTAAACAATATGCGGGATCCCTTTGTGTACGTGATGGCACGACCACGTAATTCGGCTTTGGGGAAGGCGAAAGGCGCGATTTTTTTTCCCAATTTTATATATAATGAATAATGATGATATATATTCAAGTGAAACTTAAATATTAGAGTTTTTGAATTTTTTTGTTTGTTTGCTTGTTTAAGATTGGGATGCTTATGATTATTAAGTATAGGTTATGTTTATAACTCTTTTCACTTATTATTTAATAATATTTGTAAACTTATAATCAATGTGAGTATAGTTTATTTTATTTAAGTTATTATTTTCTAGTATTAATACGTTGTCCTAGTTTTTTGAGAATACTATACTAAAAAGGAGATCAATATCTTCTACAATCAAAAGGGATGTGGCATTTTTGTGGCCCAAATTATTGTTTGACACACATTGATTTATGATAACAAAATTAAGAAAAGTTAAGTTCATGAACATGTGTCAGTCAATGAATGATGCTACAGAGAAGCCACCCACCATTTCAAGTGCAAAAGATTTAATCTCACTAAAAAGAGACCATTTGATAAATTTTGCACAAGACCCAAAGTCTCAAAAGACCACACTGGATAATTTGACCAATAAGCTTTATAATTTGCCTAAAAAAAACTTAACCACAAAATATTTCAAAAGTGAAGCCAAGACCAATGAAAAATCAAATTTGAGAGCCGTAAACCAACCGTATGACCTACATTTTGCGTTTTCGTTGGAAATTATGGTGATTTGGTGGCAAGAGCCCAAAACAACCCCAACGCAACACAAGTAGCTTCAGTAAATGCATGGAGATAAAATCTTTAGAGTAAATTACATTTAGTATTTATTTATATTATTTTTTTAATAGAGATAAGACTCACCAACGCATATAGAACCCAATTTTTATTAAAAAAATTGTATAAATATATGTTAAAAATAAACATTTTTGAAATTTTAATACAGCCAGAAACTATTTATAAAGAAAACGTTGGTGCCTATGGCACGTGGACAACCGAAAACGAGTCCAAGCAGGACCTTTAAGCTCGAGTCAATGGCTCCCTGATCCAAAAAACAAAAATCCTTAACCAAACCAAGTAACATATTGTAATGGACGGTTCCAGATTCTAAGGACAGTTTCCAAGACTGTTTTCTTAATCATCACAAGTGCAACTAGTGCATTTTTTTGGCAGACACTTCACTAGATTAGGTTCTATCCTGGGATGAGTCGTATAAAAGAGGTTTTGACTTTTGAGTTCAATTGTTTCCTCCATGTATTGCTTATATATAAAAATATATAAAGACATTATTTTACCAACAATTTTTAATTTCTTAAACACTCATTTGTATTCTTGTCATCATATTAAATAAATGAAACGAAAATACCAAAATTAAACAAAGGTATATGAGAAGCAAAAAGTTAGAAATAGTGGGTTTGTCATTTTCTTTTTGGTCAATAGTTAGGTAGTTTGCCGTGGGAAAAATGGGGAAATGAGGTGGGAAAGCCTCCAACATGGGTGAAAAGGACCATATGAGTGCCTGATTTTCACTAAAACACTATCCCTCATCGAGTGTGTTTATCATTCCTCCTTAAATATATAAAGTTCATGCGTATGAAATTTCTAAATTTGGATGAAAGAGTCCAATTTATGTCTTGCTTACAGTGCTAAAATTTCATCTTATTTTTCGTGGCACAAAATTCAGATAAGTGAAGATTATTGATCATAACAAATCATTTGTCAACTCAAACTTGTAATCAACCAGAACCAGTTCGAATTCTGATTAATTATAATTACAATAGTCAAGAGGGTATACTTGCAGAATATCGACCATGCCCCAGCTAATCAAATTATCATAATTAGAACAAGAAAGCAACTCGGTACAATCCTTGGCCATCCATTCTATCTCTTCTTCTTCATTAGAATCCAAATTTGCGGTTTGATTATTACTTTTCATACCGGAAGTTGAGTCGGAGTCCCGCGCTTTGAGCAGTTTGTGTTGGTGTACTAGTTTGTCTCCTGCCAGTTCTTGAGTAGCAGAAGAGTGAGCTTTAGACGTAGAAACAAGAAGTTTTCCAGGTGTATGCTGCTTCTTTATGTCGCCAAGCTTTTTGCTCAAATGAGCATTCCAGTAGTTCTTGATTTGGTTGTCAGTTCTTCCTGGTAAACGCCCCGCAATCAAAGACCACCTTTACACAAATTAAGTAGTTAAACCAGTGATTCCTTATCAACATCGTTCGACGAAAGAAATAAATAAATATAACTAGCATATGGGCACACACAAGTGTGTGAGAAAAGTTTTTATTTTTGTTTTTGAAATAGAAGGAGAGAGGAAGAGAGTGATAGAGAAGGTAAAAGTGGGAAGTTTTTTATTTTTTATTTTTTTTAATTAGAGATATGTTAGGATTACATGTAGGTGAGGCTTTGAAAAAAAAAACAACAAAATTTGGTTATGTGAAATTACATTTCTGTCTCATATTTCTTATTCATGTTCTATTTTAATTAGAGGGTTAATTGGTAATTTCATAGAGTTTTGATTGACAATGAGTGTTTTATTAATTAGTAGAAATTACGGAAGATTTCAGTTTTATCTTGTTCCCCACATTATAAAGAAAGTTAAGGTTCTACTATAAAATCAATTGGTGATATGGAGAAAGTTACTTATAGGCACATGCAATGTCACTCATTTCCCCGATGTGGGATTGATACTCTCAACACAACTCCTCACATGTAGCAAATTTTCAAGTCTAGCTAGCACGTGGGTAACACATATCAGGTGACGTGGAGTACGTGTGGCCGTTGGGCTTCACACGTGGGACAACCTGCTTTAATACTATAAAGAAAGTTGAGGTTTCCACCATAAAACTAATTCGCAATAATATGGCAGTGTGATCTCAAAGTACCACTAGCAGTACTAAGACACTGGACTCACGCTACCTTCTATCATGGGATCTACACAAGTAACACAACACCTCGTGTTGTGTTTTATCCATCACAGAGTTAACTTACAGGGTAAATTACACTTCTATACCTCAGGTTTGGGGTCTATTTCAATTCCTTACAACATCTTTAAAACATTTCATTTTCATACCTTAAGTACTATTTTATTTCAAAATAATACCTCCGTTACATTTTCCATCCATTGATCTGTTAAATACTGACATGGCTGCCACATATATGCCACGTGGCTGCCAAATGTCTACCACGTGGCAAATAAAAATATTTTTTAATTTTTTTTTAAAACCTGAATTTTCTCAAAAATTGAAAAGAAAAAAAAAATTGAAATAGACCTCATCCCATCTCCCCGCAACCACCCCCCACAAACCCATAACCTTTTCTCCCCACCCACACCTGCCCAACTCGTCTTCCCCCTTCCTCTTGGCGACCCACCTAAGCTAGAACCCCGACCCTCATTTGGCCCGCACCTCCCATGGTGCGACCCACCTCGATGTCTCCCCCCCGCTACCTCACCCTACTTCACCCCCCTCCCCCGACAACCTCACCCTGCTTCCCCCCCAACCCCTCCTCCCCGAGGGGACCTAACTCCCTGCGTCCAACCTCGCCCAGAACCCAGATCCCGACCCAGGCGACCTACCTCGCCCAGAACCTGACCCCCACCCTCTTCTCATCTGCAACACCCACCCTCTTCTCCTTCCCCCATCCATGCCCTGCTCGTCAACAAGTCGGTCGGCTTCGACAACGAGGTATGCATTTAATTTTGTCCTTCAAAATTTGAATTTTTTTGGTGCTTGGTTGGTGGTGGTCTGGATGGAGTTAGGTTTGCTAAGGGTGGGTGGGGTTGCAAATGAGAGAAGGGAGGGTGGGGGTGAAGAAGAGAAAGGGCTCGGGGAAGGTGAGGGTTTGCTGGGTTTCTTGATGTGAGGGGAGGTGAAAAGAGTGGAGGAGAGGGAGGTGGGTTGGGGGGGGTGGGGTTGCGGGGAGCTAGGTTTTAGTTTTTCTTTTTTAAGATTCAGGTGGTTTTTTTTTAATTAAAAAATTATTATTTTTGCCACGTGGTGTGCCACGTTGGCAGCTACGTCAGCACTTAATGGATCAATGGATGGAAAATGTAACGGATGTATTATTTTGAAATAAAATAGTACTTAAGGTATGAAATTGAAATATTTTAAAGATATTGTAAGAAATTGAAATAGACCCCAAACCTGAGGTATGAAAGTGTAATTTACCCCAACTTATATATAGGTCTTACGAATACTCCAAAACACAAAGGGAGAAAAAAGGAGAAATGAAGCTAAATAAAGTAGGGAGATAGAAGAAATATATATCTTTGAAACCTGTTTCCAAGGAGATTATGAAGTCTGATAATGAGGTCTTCTTCCTGCTCAGAAAAATAGCCGCGTTTCACATCTGGGCTGAGATAGTTGAGCCACCTCAATCTGCAGCTCTTTCCATTCCTCTTCAGGCCTACACAGATACAGTATCATCATTATTACTCACAACTAAGCTCTCAACTTCTACATATGTTCTTTCTTTCTTCATGAACATTATACATATACAATATAATATTGTATACAAATTTAAGTTACCACTACACTTTCGCAGCATATGTATATATATACAGAGGGCCCTACCGGTAACCTTAGGAATGCGGTTCCAGCGGCCAATTCTATGTACCCTTATGTAGTCTAGCAGAATCTCATCTTCCTCCTTTGTCCATAACCCTTTCTTGTACTCATATTCTGCTTCCATTTTTTCCGTTGCAAACTCGCAATACACAAATTAAGAGACAAACGAAAGGGCTCAGAGGGCTTGGATTTTTTAGGAAAGTTATAGTTTGCGTATTATATGTATATTCAGGTATATATATACATACATATTATTATGTAGTACTGAACTTGTTAATTTCCTGGTTTGCAGTAGTACTGCAGACTGCAGTGGAAATCTCTTGTATTCTAGCTAGTAATAAATAAGCCCATGCAAGGTCTATTTTCTCATCAATATGAGATTCATTCTCAACACGTCCCCTAGCGTGGCAAATTTTCAAGCTTAACACGTGGACAACACAACGGAGTGAGGTGGAGCACGCGTGGCCGTTGGGGCTCCATACGTAGGACAACCTGCTCTGATATCATGAAAAAAAAGGCGGTTCCACCATAAAATATAGAGAATAGTCCAACTTACTTATAAACCTCTGTAAGGTCCCTTATTTAATTATAATATACATAATATTAGCTAGCTTGCTTGGTCGTGAGTGGTCGACCCACCCATGATCTTGTGTCCAAGGACCAAGAAGAGAGCTACCCACTTGGGTGGCCTAGCTGTTAGAAAAAGCAGCATCTACAAACCCGTATGTTCTTTCTCGATCGTTGGCCTCTTACTAATTTTCAAATGATGTTTCTTGTTTGTTTGGATGAAATACCTAAACGAGTTTTGTTAATGTGCTCGATTGTTGTTTAAATATGTGAGCTAGCTAAGAGTCACGCTAATTGAATAACATGTGTCATATAGAACATCATTGCCTTTTGGTCAAATTTCGTTTTTAGTTTGATGAGTCTAAATAGTTTAGTGTATGTATCACAAAGTTAATATTTCACATGCGTTCAAGTATGACTGCGAAAGTAGAAGGACAAACCACAAATTAAGAATTTTTCAAACCTCCCGCATTACGTGATGTGTGCCCTACAAGATTAGAAACCAACCATGTAAGACTTATGTAGGATTCACTTCACATGAGAAAGTGGGGATATATAAGACAGAAGAGTTGGAAAAGCTGTTGTTGCATATAGGATTATTTCTTAAACTAGAGCATAAACGCCATAAAATGTTTTCCAATATGAACATTAATTTATTTGATTGTCTAAAATAACGCACGTACACAAATGAAATTCCAAGAACATGAAAAACTTAATTTGATTGCTTAATCATACTGCAGCTTCACTGAAATGACCAGTTTTCAGGAAGAAGCATCATGGCAGCTCCGTATATGATCCATGCAAGTGGCTACAGATACAGAGGTATTGAAAATTTGAAATCAGTAAGAAACAATAATATTCAAGTCCCCACAATTCATTTCCACTGCTGCATATGTCCTTTTTTTCCTCAACGGTGAGAACCATGCATTAATGCATGCGAATACTTCACAATGCGCGGACATATGGGATGTATTGGTGCAGTACACGACTGAATTTGCATGGTTGAATTTTGACAATTATAATTTAACCGTTCAAACATCAATGTATCTCATGTACCGTATAAAAACCCTAATGCATGGCTTGGTTTTCGTAATTTCATAGCTTGTTACTATTGCATGTTTCCATGACTTCAGGGGTTGTTGATTTTTTTCAATTCCTTGCGCAATATAGTAACAATAATTGTACTGACCTGCTGGTTAATCTAAAGGGAAAGTTTCACGTGCTACGCCACAGCAGTTGTTTCCCCTCACCCTGATAATAATAGTAGTACTATCTGCTCGATCTGTTTTTTCCACAGTGAAAAACTTGGCGAAAATTTCCCAAGAAATCATAAATTCGTTGGTCGGGGTGCCTAGTTTTGGAGAAGTTTTTGATACAAGGATCACATTTAGAAAGCATATATATAAACCACGTAAACTAGTCCAAGCAGAGGTGGATGCATACTGGGACTTAGGTGATCTCAAGATCATTTGGAGTTCAGAAATTATACATATGAATGTCTTATGAGGACTCTTTGAATATTTGTACGGGTCCCTTTGTAGCTACTAAGTATTTGATGTAATATCTGCTAAGCATATCTCGATAGGTTGCATGGACAACACTCGAAACATTCTCTCGATATCACTAATCAAGTGTTCGACGAAATGCCTAATAAACTGAATTTTTTTTCTTTGTACACTTCGCACTCTGTTTCTATCTAAAAAATTGAACCTTTAACACTGCGATCACCCATGATTTGAATCCTGAATCAACCACTAAGTACAAGGTGTGACTTGCTTGAAAATTTGGTACAAATAGCTCTACCATTGAAGTTTAATTTACTGAGATGAGACCAGATACCAATTAATTTTGGATTGATATTTACACGACAAACAAATAGGAAGGATGGTTCTTTCATTGCATTGATAGAAGTCTAACTAGAAAAAGATCTCTCTATTACTTTGAGAGTAGTATGATTATTGTGGTCTATGGATAATTGGCATCCGGTATCAAAGAATTTTTTCTCCCTTTTGTTGCTTTCATATGTTTAGTTGGTTTTTATTATTTGTTAACCTGATTTCTACAATCCACGCTAGCACAACCTTGAAAGTTGAAAGAGAGGCAGGAATTGCCAATCCAAATATGCTAGAGTCCTCCTCATAACTTAATTATTGGTGACATTTTGAACTAATAATATAGGCACTTTAGAGCATCTACAAGGGAAATGTCAAAATTGTCACGTAAATATATAACAGTTAAAAATGGCAGCGAACTCTCTCCAATCGAGCCTTCAATTTCTTATGTGGCGCTGAATCATTTGAAGGCAAAACCTTTTGCTCTCAAATTTGACAGCAGATGTCAAATTTATTAAATAATTTTTTAATAAATTAATATAATATATAATAAATTTGTTATGTTTTTCAATTATTTGATTGGTTGTCTTAATCATTGGAATACATAAAAAGATTTAAAAAAAATTAGTAAATGACATTATTATTTAACATATTGGATGCATCAAAATATTGTACAAAACATATAAACCATCAAATATTATTTTGATATTTAAAATTTAGCATATCTTTTGAGAATGCTCTTAAGTTTCAAATTTTTTACCTAAATTGTGTGACTAATTTTTACCTTCACTTTTTTTTTTGGTTTTTTTTGGGGGGGGGGGGGTTGGGCGTGGGGTTCGAGGAGATACGGAGGAGATACGTCGTTCTGGTAGGTAATGGTGACCTCATTTCATATCATTCTTGTCAGAGTATAAACTGGGATTGATATATATTGGAGATCGGTCATTGTGAAGTCATTATCAATTAACGCACAGTAAATGTTGTTCAAACAATTAGCTGGGGTATCATCAGTAGACTAATAATAAAGCCATATACTGTGCATGTTTCTGGTACAACATTTATGTTCTGCTGCCCAGAGATTAATTGATGAAACACCGCTGTAAAACTTCCACCGTTATATCGCAAGGGATTAAAAGAAAAAGCAAACCGTCTAGCTGACGTGGAATAATCAATCACCGTTTGAGAGGCTTCAGAGTAGAGCTATTCATGGAGGAGGATTTTTTCTCTTTTAATCTTTTTTGTCCTTTTATCTCTTTTTATTTGAACAGTTATATACAGTTCAATTAGATTAACGTTTTGTTTTAATTTTTTAATAATAAAAAAAAAGACAAAAAACAATCTACAAGATGAAGAAAAAGAAGAGAATGAGAATAAAATAGAAGAAAATCTTACTTCATCGTTTATTTATAGCAGTAGCTAACCGAAGGCATGCATGTATTTCAATATCTACCCAGTTACAGTGGACCAATACGTATATAATATGTGGACATCATCGATCTGTTTTGGTTTTTGAATTGCAATGAATTCTCGTCGTACATGCCTTAAAGGCTAAAACACGAATCATTGTACTCGTCCTGCCCATGACTGTTGCCCACATTTTTCACAATGAATTCTCTCGCGGTTAAAACAGTACCATTTTAGTTTCCAAAAGAAAAAAAAAAAAAAACAGCACCATTTGATTTAGTACCAAAATAAAATATAAAAAATTCACCATGTATTCCAGGTCTTATATACGATGAGCTCTTGCGTTCCAATATCACTAATATTAGGAACACGCGCACACACACACAAAAGTTGCTTACTTACCATTTTCGTTCTTATTTCTTACTAAAAATTAAAATATTGTTTGATGACTATTTGGTTTTTCGTTTATAGCGTTGAACTTTTGATTCTTCATGCTTCAGATATAGAGAAAGTGCGGTTGAAAGGAGAGATGACGAAGAGTGGAGGAACAATGTTAAGAGAGATATAGAAGAAATGTATAAGGCGGTACATCAAAAACTATTCCACGTTGTTTTTACTTTCAACATATAAGACCTGTCCTAGTTAAGCAAACCCGTTGAGGGACCAAAAGTTAAATGATTTGGGTTTCTCCAACTGCCCATCCTAATGACACGGCCAGACACTCAATGCAAAGTAGCACACCTTATGATGTATTGCCACAAATGGAGGATTGATTGTTGGAAATTCAAACCAAAATATGCAAACCAGGGCATTTGTAAGAAATCCCATTTTCCAGTTGAAATATTCAGCAATCAGAGTGTTCTTTTTGGCATATAGTTTGTGAATTAAACATCAGCACTTGAGAATTTAAAATCAGAACAGTCCCGTAGGGAAGTGAGAATTATAAAGCTGTGATATACATGCAGCTGTATCAAACGGACCCTAACATTCCAAAAGTTGTGCACATTTTCGATTATTATTTGATCTAAACCTTGTCAGTAATATGGTTTTGTAGTAACGGGGCTGCGTCATGGCCAGATGGCGATTCTGGGCTATCACGAACATCGGAGTATTCTTCACCTGCAGCCTCCTCTTCTTTTGTTTTTCCCATATTACGGTATAAAACCCAACAGCTAAAATTGCTGCTCCAACTATGTGTACAATTAGAATTAAAGTTCTAAAAGACGTTAGGTGCTAGTCGGACGGTGGGCTGGGGCCTAGCGCTTAGGCGGCTAGGCGGGCGCCTAAGTGGACTAAGCGGATTTAAGTAAATATGTTATATTTCATGTAAATAAGTGTCTGTTTATACTTAAAATATATATAATAAATTACAAAATAGAATGAGATATATATTATGAAGTATTGAAACATAATGAAAACATGGGGAACAAGCATATAATTTGTGTTCATTTTAGTATTTAACAAGTTTCTTACAATTTATTAAAAAAAAATAATGCAAAATGAAAGTTATCTATTTTCTATCCAAGTGAGTTGCAGTCAGGCAAGTGTCTAGGCGTGTCTGGGCAGGCTAGGCGGGTGCCTCAGCAGGTCTAGGTGCCCTTTCTAAATTTTCAAACGCTTAGGCATTAATCGGGGCAGTGGTCAATCGCCTAGCGCCTAGGCAGCGCTAGACGGGGATTTGTAGAACAGTGATTAGAATTATTGAGGTTTGTGAATGGCAAATTTTTTATATAAAAATTTAGTAAATTAGACCTTACATCCTCTGACGTGGCAAAATCTGAGACATCAAAAAGCCATCCAAAATTGTGGTCTTCGATGCACAAGGCTCGTACAAAAGAGTGAAAATTTTGCCTGTTGGTAACAAAAAGCCATCCAAAATTGTTCACTACTACCCTTTGCAGAAGGCACCAATTTAAGAAATTATACGTACAGTTGGTAACAACGTTTTAGATGTATGACTACCTTCCCAGTGGCACAATTATAGTTCGTTTTTAGGTAAGAGAACGCCTCAACAATCCTGAAAAAAGGGAAGGGCGCCATTCAGGGTCAGTCACTTCATCGTGGTACTTCATTATATTAGTTAAGATAGTTCGATATGGTGGCTTATCCATACTTATGCATAACTTAGGAGAGATATGTGGACTGGATCATGGTACCAGTCCATAACAATCAAGGTCGAATTATGAACCTATTAATAAAGCAAATTCAATGAAGCAACAACTGGTATCATTAAAACTGAAACACCCGGTGGATGGCCAATAACCGAAGGAAAGGAAAGAATCGGTTACATTTTTCATTTCAGCATGCAAAGAACACCTTTGGGAAGGATCAAAGCTTTTCTCCTCTGTAGGAGAGAAGTTAGCTTACGAGCCACCGCATACGTTCACTCCAATTAATTTGTGAAACTTGCGTTCGCCTCGCTGGACCTCCCCACTGAGTTTTGGTGCCAAACTTCTGGATCCAATTAAAGACTCTCTCCTAGAGTTAGGTACCGACTTAGGCAGACACTTAAAGTAGGAAAGGAACTGATAGGGATGGGTTGTTAGAAGGATATTGCTATTTAGACCAATTTTTTAAACGCCTACATACTTTTGTTAGTTTTTGTTTATTGATTTTTTGTTAATTCATTCGATTTGATACCGAAAATTAAGAAGGTTGTGTGAGAGGTAAAAATAGGTGTGTGGATAGTCCCACTCTCAACGGCGGAGTTAGGAATTTGAAAGATGGTCTTTCATACACATGGAAAAAAAAAATTGAACTCATAACATGGGAATCAAAGCAATCTTTATAAAACTGAAAGACCTATTAAATTTAACAGAGAGAATCAAAAGAATTGTGCAATGCAACTTAATGGGAGGTAGAGAGATGGGTAACAAATAAAAAATATAAAAATATAATACAAAAAAATTCTGATTTAAATCGTTTAATAGAAGAGGGCAAAAAGGAGGTCCACAAATAATAGATGATTAGGTTGATTTAGATGATATTAAAATCTATTTTAAAACCCCCATCTACAAACTCATCATTTTATTAAACTACAAAGATAAAACAATAAAACTGCTAGAATCATAAGATGATGAAGTGGTTCAACTCAACTTCTTCATGATGAACAATCCCTCTTCCTCATGTCTCACAACAACTGTAGGTTTAAGGTTGCTGGAAAATTTCTTACAATGTAGTCAGGATAGGCTCGGGACCACTTTGGCCCTTAGTGGCTTTGCCCTAACCACACTTGTTGGAATATTAGAAGAAGAAAAATATGAACTTTGAAATTTAAAAGTCGACTCCAATAAAGTTTAGACTTGTTTCTACTCATTTCATGATTTGGTTGGTGTTTTTTGAAAACTCAGAGACTGGCTCAAAGTTTAGAGTAGTCCATGCTTGTTTCTAACTCCACACACTTTCACATTCCTACACACTCTCTCATATATAGAGAAAGCACGTGGTTGAAGATACTTTCAACCACACTTCTTTTACACGGCTCCTTTACTTGGAGGGAGATTAACTCTCTCTCCCAATAAAGCTAGCAGCTGTGGCCTCTTGTACACCAAGCATTCGTCTTGGTGTTGTATATTAATATGAATACAACTTTGACGTTAATATTTCAATATGGATATGGCTGGAGGCATTTATAGAGAGGGTTTAGGCCTTTTAAGTCCTTTGGATTTTAGGACATCTGTCCGTTCACCATCCTTAGCCTCGCTTGGCCTTATATAAGTCGATGAGATCAGTTGTAAACTATACTGTGATGCAAAAGGAGTCGTTTGGCTATAGAAAACAAACGTTTCTGTTTGGTCTAAGGTAATCTCTAATCCCTTCATATATATGTTTAATTATGCATGCTTCACATAGCGAATGCTATATCTCTTTCTCTTTTCAAACTTTTTTTTTTCTTCTTATCAATGACGATAGAACATTCGAAAACATAGGGGAATCAAGAATGTCAGCTATATCATCGGTGTTGCTCCTTGTTGTCCTCTATCTCCAATCAGAGGTTCATTCGTTGGCCACCCCTTCTAATCATGGTAAATTATTTCACCTATAATTCAAAATGATAAAACAAAAAGGAAAAATGAAAAACGTGTGTAGGAAAAAAGCCACCTACAAATAGACGCGGTGTATATATATGTAGACCATTTATGCAAAGGGATTTCCACTTTTTTCAAAAAATAAGGATTAGTTGTGGGGTTCACGCGACATCGAATTTTAATGATCCGAACTGTCTAGTTTGTAAGTTTCAATTCATAGATCATCCTTGCAAAAATTCAATTCAATCCAAAATCATTTGCATATTTAATTATCAAGATAGAATTTCATTGTTTTTTATATAACAAAGTATTTGTTAATTTTTTAAATCCAATTAGATGTCTTAAATATTTTCGATTTGGCTAATATTTTGCAAAGATGATCTATGAAATGCAACTTGAAAAATAGACAGTTCGGATTGTTGAAGTTCGACGTGGAGTAGGCCTTACACCTAGTCTCCATTTTTATAAAAAAATGAGAATTCCTTCCTTTAAAGACTTCATCTCTCTATATATATTATCACTGCAGACAGTTTATTCTCCATGAATGCGTGCAAATTAAAAGTTCTTCATCTCTTCACATTTTTTCAGATTTTAGCTACTTGAAATTCATACGCAATGCCACTGATTTTCCATTGGAAGATGAATATGACTACGTCATAGTCGGAGGGGGCACATCAGGGTGTCCATTGGCAGCAACTTTATCAGCAAACTACTCAGTGCTCGTTCTTGAAAGGGGAAGTCTTCCTACATCATATCCGAACGTCTTGACCCAAGACGGATTTGCATATAATCTCCAACAAGAAGATGATGGAACAACGCCGGTCCAAAGGATCATGTCTGAAGATGGTATTCCTACTGTAAGAGGCAGGCTCCTCGGTGGCACGAGCATGATCAGCGCTGGACTATACGCCAGAGCTAACATATCATTTTATAATCAATCAGGAATTGAATGGGACATGGAATTGGTTAATAATACGTACGAGTGGGTTGAGGACACTATTGTATACAAGCCAAATTCATTCCCGTGGCAATCTGTTATACGAGAAGCATTTTTGGAGGCTGGTGGATATGATCCGGACAACGGATTCAGTCTAGATCACATAAAAGGAACTAGAGTCACCGGTTCAACTTTTGACAATAATGGAACGAGACATGGAGCTGATGAGCTGCTTAATAAAGGAAACCCTAACAACTTGCGCGTTGCAGTTCATGCTACAGTAGACAAGATCATCTTCTCTTCCAATGAATCAGGCATGTTGCATCTTTGATGATTGAAAAGTTTATTTTAACCCAAAATTAAACCATTTGACTAACATTCTACGTAAGAAAACATTTCTTTTTAAGGATGACGAGTCGAGTAGGGCTTAGTCAAAATTTGAGTGAATTTTTCATTCCTATTTTACCCTCCACAACTAGTAGGCACGCATTTTGCACATCATTTATGTATACATTTAATTTTCTTATTTATATGAGATTTAATGAAAAGCCCTTAAGATTAAAAAAAAAAAAAACACTTAATAGAAATTTATTAATAATAAGGAAAAAAAAGCAGTGGCATTTTCATAAATAAGTTGAAGTTTAGTATCAGTATTGTAAATAAATTGAAGTTAAAAAAAAAAAAGCAATGACAGTTTCATAAATAAGTTGAACTTTGGTGACACCGACTGTTTATATACGATTAGGTCAAACTATTTAGACACAATTTGGTGAAACTAAAGGTGCATATTTAGAAGGGAAATTATTATTGGCACTCAAAAAATTGTCATTTTGCACTTCAAACTTTCTATAGTTGAAAAGAAAAATACATTTTATGAGGAGTATAAGATGAAATTTTTGAAGTGCTGATAATAGTTCACTTTAGAAAAATCAAACTTGATATCTGAAATAGAGGTTAATGGACCTTCAATAGAGACAGTGCCCTTAACCTTGGTTTTCTTCTTGAGGTTGGTGCCGTGTGTAAAAGATGATGATGGAAAACATTTTGGAAAGAATTTTTTCTAATCAATTGATAAAAATTTTAATTTTGAAAATGAATTACTCTGGCTAGGGAACTTACCACTTTGTATAGTGGCAATGCTTGTAATTCGATTAAAAAATGTTATCAAATCATTTTTCTAGGTGGATTATACATACTAGTGTAAATAGGAGGGTTTTTCCCAGAATATATATGGTTGATTGTTTATCCTAGAATATATATTGGTTAATTGGGCCTAAAATAAAAAGAATGCTAAGTTTGTCATGTGACTCATGTTGCACCTCAATATGTGAAATAATATATCCTATTTCCATTCATTTTTTCGATATTAAGTATCTCTAATGCAGGTTTGTCAGCTACAGGAGTCATATATAGTGATTCTAACGGGACATCTCATCGGGTATTTGCAAACGCAGAAGTTATATTGAGTGCAGGAACACTTGGGACTCCTCAACTTCTACTACTAAGTGGCATTGGCCCAGAATCTTATCTATCATCTTTGAATATCACAGTTGTTCGTGATCATCCTTTCGTTGGGCAGTTTGTTTATGACAATCCTCGTAATTTCATTAACATTTTGCCTCCAAATCCAATAGAAGCCTCAATTGTTACGGTTCTAGGCATTACAGATTATTTCTACCAATGTTCTCTCTCGAGCTTGCCACTTACTACTCCAGCCTACAGCCTTTTCCCCACTCCGTTGGTTGTAAATTCAACTTTCGCCCACATTCCTAGCAAAATTCCAGGACCTTTGTCTCATGGTTCTCTCACGTTGAATTCATCCTCTGATGTGAGAGTCGGTCCAAATGTCAGATTCAACTACTTCTCAGATCCGATGGACCTTGCTCATTGTGTTAGCGCCATGAAAAAGATGGGTGATTTATTAATGACAGATGCATTAAAACCATATAAAGCCCGAGATTTGCCGGGCATAGAAGGTTTCAACTTTTTGGGACAACCATTGCCAAAGAACCAAACAGATGATGCATCCTTCGAAACATTTTGTCGAGATACAGTAGCCTCGTATTGGCATTACCACGGTGGATGCCTTGTCGGGAAGGTGGTTGACGGCAGTTTCCACCTTAACGGGATCTACGGATTACGCGTTGCTGATGCCACCCTATTTCCTGCTGCACCAGCAAGCCACCCTCAGGGATTCTATTTGATGTTAGGAAGGTATGTGATACACTTTTATTTGCAGTTGTCAATAATTTTTTTGGTTGAATGGCTTGCTTAATAACAAACTCTATGCCACTGCTGCTCTATTAGTTCTTTCAAATTTTCTGCATTTGGGCAGGTACGTGGGACTTCAAATTCTGAAAGAAAGGTCAACTTGGGGAATATTGTTGGAAAAATAGGATCTAATTGCTATATTAAATCACATGAAAAATCAAGAAATAATTCATGCAATTATATATCTCACAATAATGCATGGAGTAACCAATGTTAAATGAACATAATAGAATGGATTAGAAAAACCTAAAAAATACGATCGAGGCAAGTGTTGACACTTTGTCCTTAAGACAAGTTTACGTCCTACTATGGTGCTCATGGTCGATCTGCTCATGTCTCCCAAGATACAACAACTACATTCTTGTAATAGTAGCATTCCAAATCACATGTAAAACAATGAAAAGTTCTTTTGGTGATTATAGGGAGCTTCCCTATTTATAGAATGTGAGATACATCTTTGGAAAGCATGTGACTATTCATGAAAAGTCAAAAGTTGCAACACTTCATTTAAGTAGATATATATTTCTACTAAAAGGCTCTATTTTTAATTTTCATTCAATTAATAAATTTAATATAATAATAATATTATCAAATTTTCCAACAAAACTCAGTATGACTCTCCAATATTAAAGTAATAATAAACCCATGAGCTATGCCATACACCTTTTTATTGGATGCCAATTTACGATGAGGCAAATAATCATATCTTTTTTCTTTAAGTGGAAAATAGGGGACGGCCCTCTGTTCTGTGCGTGTGCGCGTCAACTATCAGGTTTTTCTGTATATTTTATCATTATTTTGTCATTATTGCTAATAAAAGTTAAAATTTGTGTCCTTTTTATTATATAAAAAGGAAAGTGTTATTGACATTCTAAAATCCAATCCTACACTCATTACAAATATATTTTTTTTCTAATATAGAAAGTTTTGAGTGTAAAATTAAATTTTTAGAGTGCTAATAACAATTCTTTATAAAAATATTTAAAATTTGATTTGAACTCATATAACGACAAAAATTAAAACGCCCTTGATAATACGGTGCGTTTTAATTTGTTTTGTTTGTTTAGAAAGTTATAATCAATATCCCAGTGGAAAAATGGACCAACGGTTCGATATTGAGATCAATACTCAAAAATTCGGTAAGGCTTTTTATCCAAAATGGTCTTTGAAATTTGCATAACACATCACTTTGGTCCTTGAGATTGAAAATCAATAGAGATAGTTCCTGAGAATGTCCACCATCCATTATTTTGGTCATTCCGTTAAAAACTCCATTAAATGTCTCGGAGCTCTTAGCTAAAAGTTTGGACAATTTTTAAAGCTTCGTAACTCAATCGTTTCTTAACGGAATGACCAAAATAATGGATAATGGGCAATCTTATGGACCATTTCTATTGATTTTCAATCTTAATAACCAAAGTAATGTGTTATGCAAATCTCAAAGACCATTTTAACTAAAAAGCCATTCGTTAATATATGCATAAAAATCGATATTAATCTTCGTAACATCAGTGCGTAATAAGTGAGAAGTTATATTAAGTTCAAAAGACTATTGGCACCCCTCAACTTCCACTACTTAGTGGTGTTAGCCCAAAGTCTTACTTATCAATTATGAAAATCTCTGTTGTTCCTGACTATCCTTACACTAGGGAGTTTATATATGACAATCCTCGTAACTTCGTTAACATTGTGCCTCCACGTCCACTAAAAACCCTTAGATACCGTTTGATACGTGAGACGGGATGGAACAGAGTGGGACAAGGCGTTCCGTCCCACGTTTGGTGCGCCTAAAATGAGTGGAACAAGCTGTTCCAGGGGACGAGTTTTGGATGAATTTTCGTTCCACCTCATCCCCCTGGAACGACTCGTTCCACATCCGTGGAACACAAAATTATAACCTATCCGTCTCCTTCTTCTTCCTCTTTGTTTCCATCCGAGGGCATCTTTGCTCCCGCTCCGTTCCGTTTCGTCCTGTCCCGTCCCGGTTCATCCTGTCCCGTCCCGTCCCGTCCCGGTTGCATACCAAACGATACCTTAATATATTGTAATCAAACTAGGAACCTTAATATATTAGAATGCCAAATGAGATTTTTGAAGTGCTAGTAATAATTTCCATTACAAATAATTTATACCAATGTTCTATCTCGAGCCTGCCCAATTCTACGCCAGCCTATAGCCTTTTTACTTGTCCGATGGTAGTAAATTCGACCTTCGCTCACATTCCTACTCCAGCCTATAGCCAATTTCTAGCATTGCTAATTGTGTTAGCGTCATGGAAAAAATTGGTGATTTATTAAGGACTGATGCATTAAACCTTACAAAGCCGGTCAACATTTGCCGGGTATAGAAGGTTTTAACTTTGTGGGAGTACCATTGCCAAAGAACCAAGCAGAAAATGTATCCTTCGAAACATTTTGTCAAGATTTAGTAGCTTCATATTGGCATTACCATGTTGAGAATGAGTCCCACATTGATGAGAGAGAGATCTTGCATGGGCTTATAAGAGGTTGTATTACTTCATGTATTGCCAATTGGTTTTATGGTGGAACTCCAACTTTCTTCATGATATCAGAGTAGTTTGTCCCACGTGTGAAGCCTAACGGCTACATGTGCTCCATGTCATCCCGTTGTGTTGTCCACATATTAGGCTTGAAAATTCGTCACACGTGAGGGATCGTATTGAGAATGAGTCTCACATTCCCTTCTACACCAGCAAGCCACCCTTAGATATTCTACATGATGTTTGGTAGGTACGTGGGACAAAAAATTCTGCAAGAAGGATCAGATCAAGGAGAAGCAGGCATATGGACCTCGCAATCCCGAATTCAGCATCATCCTTTGCTTTTTTTAAGCGTAAATAATTCACCGGCTGAGTTCTAGTTCAAGTCGAATTTGGGACTTCGCTGGCTCTTTCTTTTACTCCTGCTATGTGTGCCTCTTTATTTCATACACAATAAACTTCACTTGTATTGTCAAGGGTATCTAAAGTCTCTTCACTTTCGACAGATTTTGTTAATTTTCTAATCGCTTCAAGCGAGGGGGGTAGGCAGTAGGCTGCTTTGGAGTTGGATTTTCTGCATTGATAAAGAACATCTACTTATTTCCCAATATGATACAATACATATTACAAAGAGAGAGAGAGTACATTCATATACACAGCAAAATATGGCTCAACTTTTTTCTGTTTTCCTTCTCATTCAATTGGATGTATGACTACCTTTCCAGTGGCCCGATTTGTTTCAAGGTAAGAGAAAGCCTCCACAAGCTTGGAGAAAGGAAAGGGCCCTTTGGGGTCTATCACTGGCTTCACCTTCCCACTCTCCAAGTACGGGTTTAATTTCTTCAGAACTGCACCGTTAGAAGTAACTACAAATCTGAAACCTGGAGGTGTTACTGCACCTGTTAAGGCAACCACACCGCCACCTTCTTTCACCACCTTCACTGCTTTATCACATTGACCTGCCATTATAAAATGGGGAATGAAGTTGCTTTCAGATCTAGGTTCAAAATGAACAACTATTGCTATTAGGTTGGTACACATTTTTTCCTATCAAACTTCAGAAACAATGGCTGAGCTGGATGATTTGTCAATGGACTTAAATCAATAACCAGAATTATAAGGACTATCGTAAAAGTAGCCATCGTTTTTAGATTGATATCAAGTTATATGGAAAAAAAAAAAACAGAAAAAAAGAATGACATTTTCATTTGAAAGAACCGAACATTGTAATTCTAGATTGTTGTCATCTTTTGTTGTGGCCATAATCATGATAACACACTCATCTACTGCAATTAAAAAGCCCTTGGTGTTATGGAAACTCTTACCAATAGCATCATAGACGACATCAAATTTTCTGGCAATTCTTCGAAATTCTCTTTAGTGTAGTCGATTGCTAAATCAGCACCCAAGCTCTTCAACAACTCCAGCTTTCCAGTGCTCGAAGTGGCTGCTATTCTTGAAGCTCCAAATACATGTTTTGCTAGCTGTTTCAAGTTTAAACCAACAGATGTGACTCACAAGGGAAAAAAATAAAAGTACGAAACATATGATTTTGTCAAGCAATGCTTTCACTTTAATCATGGGCGGAAGAGAATGAATTGGTACCTGAATCACCAGGCTTCCAACTCCACCAGCACCATTTAGAACAAGCAAAGATTTACCGGCAGAAAACCCGGTCTTTTCAAGACCCTCGTAAGCTGTCTCGATTGCAAGAGGAAGGGAAGCAGCCTGAGCAAAATCCAGATTCTTAGGCTTAAGTGCCAATAACCTCTCTTCAACAGCAGTGTACTCTGCAAGAGAGCCAGATTGTTTAGGGCCTTCCAAAGCTTTCTCGTGTATGTCTCCATACACTTCGTCCCCCTCTTTAAAGTCCTTCACTTTACTGCCAACCTTCACCACCACGCCTGCGACATCATAGCCTGGAACGGTCTGCAGGGAAACAAAGTGAATTAGCCCTAGAGTTTATAGCATCATTCGAATGAAGCTAACACGAGCAGTATCATATAGAAAATTAAGGGAAAAGTAGTAACTTTTCTTCTTTATCCACTTCAATTTGACAAGTAAAAAAATAAACCATTATTCTAGTCACTCTTCCTCAGTATCAATCTTCCAATCTCAACAATCACAACAAACATTCTGAGAGCAACACAAATTCCAGATATCAAAACACACAACAACCACAATTCACAGCTTTATGGGATCGTCTAGTTCTTAGGATTGGATAGCCTAACTCGTTAAATTCGAGGTATATTGCAGGTAGAGGTGAATGATTTTTCGTTTTGTGAGAATTGAAAGTGCTAAGCTTCCTAAGTGTGTATTCCATCAACTTCCTTCAAGTCGGACAAAGTTTATTCATTTCTTCCTTCGACATACCTTGAATATCGTGACTTACCGAAATCCGATCACTCCTAAACACCAAACCAACCCTACATATGTTAAAAAAAAACTTCTTGTTCGTCAAAAACCGAAATTACCGGGAGCGGAGAGTCAGTGTTCTTGAATTTTCCCTGCCTCCTCTTGAAGTCAACCGGGTTGAGAGCCGCAGCGACAACCTTAACCAGAACCTGGTCCTCCAGCAACTCAGGAACCGCAACTTTGCTGTCGAATTTCAAAACATCAACACCCCCGTATTCCCCATATACCCACGCCTTCATCTCCGACGGCACAACCGCGACCTTTGACGCCTCTGCCGAAGCAGGGGCTGATTGGGAACTGGCAGACACTCTCAGAACGGGAAAACCAGCAAAAAGCTTGGATCTTTGGGTAGTCGAGCTTTTGGGTACCGCGATTCTGTTGTTATTTTCCCGGAATGTGAAGGAAAATTTGATAGAAAATTGATTTGGGGACGTGAGCTGGGAAGCAGTGGAACTGAGATGGGCGGTGGTGGTTAACATTGTTGTTTCCGACCTCAACCTTAAACTTCTTATCTCTTTCTCTGCTCCCCTTCATATGGCCATGTGTTTAACTTGCTTTAATGTCCGTGCTGGGTAGGACAGAGTACGGATAAGGTGTGGTCAGGAGCAGGATTTTCATATACAGTCCACCAATATCGTCGCGCCAAAAGTACGGAAGACGCGACTCGGAAACGCGACTTAAGGGAAAAAAGTAAACTACGTGGACGGCCAAGATATCTCGTGATGGGATTAGAGATCGACGGTCAGGAACTCAGTGCTGGTAAAACATAACCCTTTTCTACTTGGGAGTTTGTTGAGAGCCGGCTGAGAGTTGTGGCGTCCGCGGATTTCTATTTAGTCAGATCTTCGCTCTTTTCTCTCTCTCTCTCATTCGTAGGTTGTCTTTCTACTTTCTTGGAGGTAATTAACCCGATCCTTGTTTCTCTTACGTTAGACTCAGATGGATCGTTTGTTTTTTCGATTTTTTTGTATTTTTGTTTGAAAAGTGATGATTTTGTTAAGACTGTAGTGTGTTTCTGACCATTGTGGAGCAATTACCGTTCCGATCCGTCGTTTATCGTAGATATTCTCTCTGATCTGCTTTGTAAATCGAGAAATCTCGGAAATTTATGATTAATCTTTACTTTTTGTATTTTTTGATTGGTTGTTGAAAATCTAGAAGAAAATAGGATTTGATGAAGCTTCATCTTTTCGTAACAGTAGATAATGAAGATAAATTAGGGATCTTTATTCAAATTGTTTGAAGGAAAGCCCTTGTTGAAACCAGATAAGAAATTAATTGAATTGGAGTCATATGAATCTTGTTTGAGTCATATAATTTTCGAATTTAGATTATGTTTATTGAATGTGTTAGTTTTAGTGATTGAGCATTTCGTGGGTGTGGATTTTGGGTAGGTTGTGCTGCAATGGCTGAAGCAAAACCAGGATTGAGGAAACCAATATTCACCAAGGTTGGCCAGCTCCGCCCAAGTACTTCTGGGCACACTCTGACAGTAAAGGTTGTCAGTACTAAGATGGTGTTACAGAAGGGTCGTGCTGATGGTCCTCAAGGACGCCAAACGCGAATTGCTGAATGCCTGGTTGGTGATGAAACTGGTTTGATTATCTTCACTGCTAGAAACGATCAAGGTGTGTATTTCAAGTTTACTTATTATTCTTACCGGTGAACACAAAATCTATGCACAGCGGTTGCTGGATCAACATCCAGTGTCTCCTAATCAAAACCCGTGGTGTTTTTTTTTTTTTTTTTTTTTTTCCTGAAAATATCAGAAGTTTGATTTGAATCTAGTGGATGGTAGGCATGGATTTTCGGTTCCTGGTAACTAAGTTGGCCAGTGATTGCTTGCATCACTCCGATATCAGTTTTCAGTTGATGTTTGATGATGTGATTAGGAAGTAAGTGGTGTTACTTGATATCTTTTGACAATAGAGCTTTTGATCCTGGGTAACAATATTTTAGATACAGGATGGAGATACAAGTGGTTGCAAGCTGGATTAACTATAAATTGTGTTCCAAACCACATGCATATTTTTTTATTGAAATTGTTCTGGAGCAATATGTCTTCTTAGTCTTAAACATGGGGTAGACGGATATGCTAGTGATACCATCTACGAGCATATATTTTACATACATTTCAGTGTGTAGTTTTTGCTTTTGCTCTTAGCTTGTTTAGTCTTCATATTCTGAGGTTTTGGGTATTGAATTGCATTTTTCTTAAGATGCTAGAGTTCTGTACATTGAGAATTACATTGATCTTCTTATACATGTGTAGTAGGTGATGGCCGTAATTTCTGAGTGTGCTCATTAAGACGTAATGCTTACTACTGCATATTTCAATGTTCCTCCATGCATATTTTGTGTCCTACTGGGAGCAATGGTTTGGATCCATGGAATCCTAAACGATACCCTATGAAGTAGGGTTTGTTTCTTCAAATTATATTTTGAAATTTGAAGTACTTACTCGATCTATATGTTTGTCTTAAGAATAAAGAAACACCAAATTAAGATTTGAATGATCAACCTTCCTGTAACGTCTGAGCAGGGGTGAGCGTCCATTCAAAACCTATGCTTTTTGCTGATGTTTCAGTTGAACCAATCTTTCTGAGTCTATCCAAGACAATTGGTCTTGCAACATAGCGAATCTAATTCACTTTCTTTGGGTCTTTTTGGTTCTAGGTCTAGTAGTAATTCAAGAGTAAAAACTCCATTAAAAGATACACAGCTCACTTCAAGAAAGCTCCTGTAATGGAATCAAGGAGGGAAATCCAGACCTAAGATAAAGCAACAAATAAGCATGAAGGTGGCTGCCGGGGCATTAAAAGAAATGACATCCAGGAAACTGAGAAAAAAAATCTTTAAAATTAGGAATAGTAACGTATATTTCTCAAAAGCATGATCCGTGGTGAACAGTTTTGAACCCTTTATAAATTTTTGCACAGCGTACGTCTGAGAATTGATGTCTTAATATTGGGTGTATATTGTATCTCCACTCATTTTGATTTTGCCTCTGCATTATATATAGTACACATTACCTGTTATTAACTGATATGTCGTGATGATGTTGTGTAGTGGACTTGATGCAAGAAGGTTCTACCATAACCCTAAGGAATGCCAAGATTGACATGTGGAAAGGATCAATGAGACTTGCTGTGGACAAGTGGGGCCGTGTCGAAGTTGCTGAACCTGCCAGTTTTACGGTTAAGGAAGACAACAACCTCTCCCTTATTGAATATGAACTTGTCAATGTTGTTGAAGAGTAACTTGTCTGGTGGAGTTCGGTTCTCTACCTTGTCTTAACCGAAAAATAAACACAACCGGAAGAAAAAAGTTGTGCTTTTATGGGGCATCTGATCTCCAAAATGTTCCCGAAAGTTCACTTGTAGGAAGAAGAAATCTTGAAACTAGTACCACCCGAGTCTTTTCTCACGTTTGCAGCTAATTGTGATGGAGCTTTGGTTGTATTGCCATTTAGATGGTGATGGCTGTAAGTTTATGATCATGAGGGAACTGGCTTTCTCTGTTTTACAATCTATTTACATTTGGAAAGTACATATGGGATTAATATTATGCAATGTTTAATACTTTTTGTAACTTCGCGTGGTTTCGCTGCGTTATTTTTGCATTATTTCGTATGTTTTAATTCGTGTATGCTATGTGCCGAAAATTATTTTGGTATTTGTGAAAGTTCTTGAAAACATTGGTTTTAGTCCCTATGATCTGTAGAAGTTATAAAACATGATGGATCTCACCTGGAGGATTTCCGACAAGGAACGAAACATGGTAGAAAACATGCTCCTAAGATAGCGGGGGTTTTCGTTGTGACTTTTAATTGCGTTAAGAGTTGGAATAAAGTGACGGCGATGTTGATACGTGTTATGTAACGTAACCCATGCAGAAATTGAACTTGCACTTGCAGGTTGTCAACTTCTGATGTTAGTTGAAGTAGCATTTTAATATATTTTTTTGTTACATCGGAGCTAATTGATATTTGAGGCCATCTTATGACACGTTTTAATTATTTTGATTCTCGACTTCTCTTATATTATGCCACGTTTATTTAGCCAAGATATCAAAAATTCACATGACTCCTACACTACAATTCCATAATGTAGTATATGAAACATCAAGAATTAGATTATTACGGGTAGTTGATCCCTTATTCTGACTTCTCTGATTCATAACTTCTTCAATTTTAACCAAGTAAAAATGCTAATTTTATATATTGCATTATTCCCTATCTCGTCATGCTTATTGAATCACGTTTTTAGTAATGCTCAAAGTCCTTTTTTTTTTTTTTTTTTTTTTTTTTTTTTGGATGAGGCAGTTGAGGCCAGCCGTGAGTCACAGCACATCACATGATTGGCATTGAACTAAACTAATGTTATACCAACATTTAGGCAATCAGAAGCAGGTGGATCAAGCATTAAACATATCATTAACTAAACATAAACTTAGTTAAAGGTTCTTAATCCATCCATTGGATGACAAAATTATCAAATAGCTCCAAACAGAAGAAACCATGACAAAAGCTTATCCACCTTATTCTGCAGGCAGTTGGAGTTGTACCTGCCCTACAAATGCAACTAGAAGTCATTGGTCTTTAGTTGTTAGAGTGAAAACAGGATTTTGAGGATTACAAATAAGTGGGAATGAGTTGCCCGACACTTTAGGGGGATGTCCTACTCGGACTCCTACTCACAAATGGTTGTCTTTGCCTTAGTGGAACTTCGGCTACATTCCACATTCCAATTCCATCTAGTAATTGAGAGGACCACTCACATCACATGACACATAAATTAGGGTTATCATATGAAGATATGAGTGTGTGCATGGCATTACGATTGACAGACATCACACATGCAAATACACACACACACACACACACACACACATATATACGTGTGTGAATTTTGGGAGATTTGGGGTGAGTTTTGATCAATAACTGTTTGATATTTGATGATCTTAAGAGATTTGTCCGTTGTTGTCTAGTTTGTTTGATGTTCTCACTCTTATCTTCTTGTTACGTGCAAGAGGAGGACATTGTCATTTATAGTTTACAATTCTGATTCATAACCTAACAATATCATATATTAGATATATATCTTACACGAATAATAAGCGTCTTTTTAGGATGTGCTAATTTCTTGTTTAATTAAAGGATTGAACATGTACTTGTGACCTCAGCAATTGGAATAATGTGACCATTTTGTCCACATTGGTCGCGTCCACGTCTAGTGCTTAGGATTGGATTAGGTAGCTCTATCTTATTAGATATATTCAATGTATGTTAAAAGAAGAAATGTAAGGTGAATTAATTATAAATCCAACTTATCTATTTTGATCCTACCATTTTGTTGGATTTGCAGTTGGTGATAGTGTCGGTTAGTTTCTGAATGATTGAGCTTACTAGCTGCTTTGGGATCGATCTTCTATTAATCCTTTCGATGTTGCACTTGCACTTCTGAGTGCTTTTGGGTCGAATATAAAGCCATTGCCTTACTGGGGGTCTGCTAATTGATTATTGTGTGGCACACAGAGAGAGAGAGAGAGAGTCTGTAGACTGGTAGTGCGGCCACGTTTAATATATCATTCTTCTCTCCTCTTTAGACCAAAATTATAGGTGGCCATTTTAAAATCTCTCAACGGATCATTTGGCACATTGAATCCACACAGATTTCTTCAATCCACCGTTCTTACTGAAGAAAAAATAAAAAAGGCCCACTCACGACGCCGTCTGGTCTTTAGTAAACCCTAAAGTAGTAAAGTCCATTAAATATCCTTAGCAAACCGAAGATCTTGCTTTTTCATAACCACAATATATTCAGATCCCATTTTGCATTTTTCATTTTAATGGTTCATATATCCTCAAAAATCAAACACTTGTTGGAACGCACAAAAAATAAAAGCTACCATGTCTGTATATATTGCATTAAAGTATCAAAGTTAGGTTTTATGGGTTTTTTTAGCACTTTGATGTGAGTTTTCTCCTACCCTCGTTCTCGTTGTGCTTGTATGCATTCCATTTAAAAGAGTTGTCAATTTGCTTTCTTTATGAGCAGAAAAAGTTGGCTCCGTTCATGAGATCACTGCATTTGGGGAATCAGATCATGGAGAGAGAGAGAGAGAGAGAGAGAGAGAGGGTCCATGCATGCAAAATCAATCAATTTCAAGCCCTCAATTTGATCCATATGTTCACGATTCCAACTGTTGCTAGCTAGTTATTGAAATTTGTAAACTGTCTTCTGCGATGGGTAGTTGGGGGGCATGAGCATGCATATTGTTTTGATTGAGAAAATTTTAGTAACGCAACATGATCATGTTGATCACTTTCATATGAAAATATATCTTTTCTGTATATGTGAACTATATCTCACTTTAATAACAATCTGACTACGTATGTAATGAATTTTTTACATCACACATTCGCCACCTAGTGTGTAACATAATGTATAAGGTGACGTCTCGAATGTTCCACTCCTCTTGTATATTTTGTGGCTACCATTTGTCACGTTCTCCTAGCCCAAATGGTCTCTAGCATTAGACCAGTACATAACGTTCTACTTTTTGTAAGAGTGCCTAACCAACCAAGTTATCATACTCCCTACTGTAATTTTATGATGCCATTATGAAGTCATCAGGATTCTGAAATTTGTTTTGATCAGTCCATTACATAGTGGCTGAACTAAAGCTTGGCTTTGGATAGCTGACCCTCGCTTAATAAATGGACATGAGCTTTTTTTTCAGTCAAACCATACAGCATAATGTTCGGTCGAAAGAACAAATAAAAAATTATAAAGAAAACTTAAGTGATTTGTCTTTTACAGTAGCTTTAGTTTTTTATTTTCAGAAAAAGAGAAGAGCAACTTACAGAGACACTCTCCTTAAAAACAGTATCATTATATGTGGGCGCAGCGCAGAAGCAGTTGGGTAGAATATCTTACTCAAGATGACTGCCACTTTGACTTCAAATTCCCGATAACCATGAGTTGTTTTCTCTGCTGAAAATGTCTGTCCATGTGAGAGCACATGATGATCGATCGGGTCAAGAGTTTGAATTCGAGATCCAAATTTCTAACCATGATGCTGCTCTCCTTAATCCCTACTTAACAATGGATTAATATGAAAGTTTATGATTAATTTTTTCGTAATGAAAGATAAAAATAATCGTCAAGAATAAATTAATCTTCTCTGGAACTATATAAAATTGTCAGCCACAGTGTGAAATTAGAAATATTTTTCTAATTTGATCTACAGCTTTATTTTATAAGATTATCACTCAACTGCAGGAGCATAGGTCAACCACTTCAAATAAAAAATGATCGCTTTCACTTGGATGTCTGTCTGATCCATGAGTATGGCATGTGGATAATGATTGACGGTAGGTCTGAAGAACTAGGGTTTTTTTTTTCTTTCCTTCTTTTGTTTTTGCTTAAAAATGTATGCACGCACACACACACACATATATATATGCGCGAACGGTTCTTCTGGGATTTAACAGAACATGAGTCTGCTTCAAGCCCTAGTTTACATTAAAAAAGTCGTATTCAGTATACGATTTTCCTGAAATATGGGGCAATGTGAACGCAAGAATATTAAGGCTTATTCCTCTTTATCTCATTTTCATATTTTCATACCGATGCAAGAATATTATATTGCGTTCATATTTTCATCTCGTGTTGAGAAAGATAAATAAATGAGATCATGTATATCTAAAGCTCTACCCATACAGCAATTCGAGATATTGATTTATGACGTGGGACATATCATACACCAATTTTTTCAAAGGAAAAAAGATGCAGAAACAAAGGATCGATGTAATGCGGGAAGCAATGGATATTAATTCCACGTTTCTCACATCAAACACCGACAGAGACTTTGATCAAATACATAAATAATAGAAATGAAAATTTCCGCTAGGATCTGGCCATAAATAATTCGAAACCAAATGAAGTTATATATGTATGAAATGTCATCTGGTGCAGAAGAAGTATATACAGTAAAAGTCACACCAGAAAACCAAAGTTGTAACATGGATTAAAGTTCTATTTCCCGATGGACTGAAATCAGATATTCGAAACCCTATTCAGCGTAGGCACCAAAAAGTCGACTTGCACATGCATTTACCGGCAATTGATTAACTTCTACCTCTAATCTACACAAGAGGGTTAGAATCAGTCTTCTCATGGATGCATGAGTGGATTATGTCCGTTCTTGTTTCACTAATTCACCGAAAAGTAAAAATTTCTTTAACCAAAAGAAAAGGGTAAATTAAAAAAATCCTAAAAACAAGAATAGTGCTTCAAGCATGCATACACTAGAAAATGTAAAAACAAATTCAAAGGAGACTAAACTACGAGGAAATACAAAAAAAAATGATAATCAATAAGAAATTCATGTCAAATGTGTGTTATTCTAATTACAATGACAAGACTTAACTTGTTTTCTATCATTATCTTTCATTTGAGATATTTAAACTCGTAATTTCATCTAATAAAATAAAAGAGAATCAAAACAATAAGGTTTTAATAGATAGTGGATGTCGAATACCAAGCATAGAATATGCAAGCATTGCATGATCACGACGATATTTC